CATAATCCCTACTGCTCTCCACTGCTTGTAATTTTCCATCATAGTCTTTATTACAGTGTCATTATCACGTCTCTTTCATCCATTAAGGCCATCAGGCTCTCATAGCCCTGTGTTCTCCCAGATGGCTTTTTAGAGACCCCGCAGACGGGCTTAGGTCTCCTGCTCCCATCCTCACTCTGATCCCTGCTTTACAGACTCCTGTCCTGCTCTGCTCCGAGGTGGCGGTTTCTGCCGCGCCTCTCCCTGAGCTCCGTCAGCCTGCGGGGGGATGACTGTGTGGTTCTTTGAAGTCTTTTGTTCTGTTCTTTCCCTTTAAACTCTCCTGCCCTTTCTCCAGTTATAAGAACAAAACAGAACAAAATAAAACAAGCCTCCCCTATCTGGTATACCTTTCTCAGTGGCTTAGATTACTGAATTTCTTTTCTTTCCCAATTTAGTAGCCAGTAATAATTTGTTACTGTTATTGAGAGTCATAGTGTTATACCCTTGGTATTTCACTTTATATTTAAAAAGCAAATTCAAATATCATAGCACTTTTCATTGTCGCAGCTGGGTTATGCAGCAGACTAGGTTATGGAAAATCAACATTTTCATCAGGAATGGGGTTCTGCTTGGGTGAAGAGAGGATGACTGTACCATTAGATCCAGATTATCCTGATTTTGGACACTATGTGATTTAAACCATCATATTATCATGCAGCATCTCCCATGTCTAGTTGGTTAGCCAGTCATCATGTCCTAGAGATTTGCTAGATTCTGACTTTGTCTTTTCAAAGACACCAAAGTGCCTACCATCTTGGTCTAGGCACGTAATGTCAAATGCATGAATTGTGAAAGTGGATTCCCTACCTGCCTCCCTCACTCCGGCTTATCTTCCATACTGATTCCCAAGTGGTCCTTCAATAGCAAACATGAGTTCAAGGCAAAAGCTTATGCAGTTCCATCATTCAGTGGGTCCTTTTACATTCAGAGTAAAATGCAAACTCACAAGCCTGCCATAGCCAGCCCTCGTCCCCTCCCCTGCTTATGTATTACCCCCCTGTACCCACTGAATGCACCATGCTTTCTCTAGCCCTGATGCTTGTCACAGTCCATTACACTTGCCTGGAACTTTTCCCTTTTTTGCTCAGTCCAGTAAAATCCTACATGTGCCCTACAGACTCCTTCTCCAGGAAGCCTCAGTGAATATTACTCTTTTAAAAAATGTTATCTTAGGTGTGAACTCCAAGAAGCTTTGCTACACCTCTTTTTTCCCCTTCCCCTCTGGAGCTGGCTACTGTGCTGTTCCTCTGTGCTTCCGCGTTACAGCTCCATAGTGATAGGTGTGAACTCCAAGAAGCTTTGCTACACCTCTTTTTTCCCCTTCCCCTCTGGAGCTGGCTAATGTGCTGTTCTCCGCATTACAGCTCCATAGTGATTATTCTGACCCTGTGTTTTAATTTTTCTGCCAGGGGCCTAGATTGTGACTTCTAGCAAAGCTTCTACCAAAGAGTAGCTAATTAGTAAATGCTTGCTCAGTGAATGAAGGGCCTTCTAGCTCACATGTCCATCATTACTGGCTGTACCCCAGATTTTCTATCAATGCTTTGCAAACACAAAACATACTCATTAGATATTTCTCACCATCAGGTTTTGTCTTGAATGTTCCAGACATTTTTTCCATATTAGTTGTATTTTTACTTGTCAATTAATTTAAAATGTTAACAGATGCAAGGGTACTTCAAAAAGTTTGTGGAAAAATGGAGTTAAAAAATAATACAACATTTCTATGAACTTTTTTAAGTACCCTAGCAGTTGCTCTGTATTTAATGCAGTTTGAGCCCATAAAGTGAAACTTGCTCCAGTTTATGTACAGAGTGGCACAGGTGACCTTCTTACTGGAGAAGCATTTGCAACATTTTTTCAAAGTCCTGGGGAGTTTTCCAAGGCACTGTTTCATGAGCAGTATCCAATCGGTTCCTTTATTTATTTTCTTAATAAATGTCCAAGGCAATTTAGAGTTTGCACTGTCATCTGATACAATTCACATTGATCCCATGCTTGCCAAAAATGATATGTGCTTTGAGAATTTAATTGAACACATATTTATCTTCATAAATATTCCTATTGAACATGTGTGCAGACACAGAAAGTCAGATTGTTTAACAATTTTGCTTTTATTTTTTGGTCAATATTGGAGAACTTTTGTGTTTTTGTTTTTTTTATTGGTCAACATTTTAATTATTAGCCGGAAAAAATGTATTCATACTTGCCATTCCCTGGCACTTAGGGATTGTTAACGTGTTTCTTGTGATTTTTGTTTTTGCAGGAGGAATGTCAGAACTACATCCGGGTGCTCTTGGTGGGAGGCAACCGGCTGTTCACGTGTGGGACCAACGCCTTCACGCCTGTGTGCACCAACCGCTCGGTATGGCTTCCTGTTGGGCCTTGACAGGACATATCATCAGAAGAAGCCAAAACTGTATTGCAACCCTAGTTTTAAAGACATTTCTATACACTGGGGCGTAGCTCTTTAACGCAAAACCACCTTCTATCAAATTGAATAAATATTTGATTTCTTAATTCTCTTATAATCAGGACTGTTAATTATATGAAGAACCAGAAATAATTAGAGGTTGTATAATTAAATTTAACCATGTTTCTAAACTATTTCAATCAGCATTTTCCCCACCAGTGACCCTAAACATTAATCATAAATATATTATTTTTCTTATTCGGCCTTATGGTGGGGATATTATTAAGTATTAAAATGATCTAAAATCACAATGCAAAGGTAAAAAATATAACCTACAGATTGAATAAGAAGCATATCAAAAAATAAAACAAACAAATGTAACCCCGGGCAAAGTAAAGTTATGTCTGATCCTCTTTCTTGTCTTTCACCTGTTATTTTTTAATTTTTTTAATTTTCTTTTTTTTTGGTGGTTGACCTGTCTGGGGACCCGAACCCTTTACCTTGGTATTATCAGCATTGTGCTCTACCTAAGTGAGCTAACTGGCCAGCCCAACCCCTCGTTATTGACAGGAATTTTAATTTACGCATCTTATACCAGTAGCATGACAGGTCATCAGAACTCACATGTAATTTTCTTAATTTGGGACGTCAATATTCCTCAGGGAATATAATGAGGAAATATTTTAATTTCTTGGCTGCACAACTGCTCTCAAAACCTTTACTTATCATCTGCTTTTCCTGTTCATTATTTGCAAATTAACATTCAGTTATTGGAAATGAAGGGGGAGGTGAGAAGAGGCGCAATGCTCACTGAGAGCTCCGTGGGTCGGTTCCACACGCTGCTCTCAGTGCTTGATGTCAGTGCAGTCATTCAGCCCTCAGCAGAGACCCCGTGAGGTGGTTACTGTGTGGGGCTCCATTTTATAAGAGGAGAACACAAAACACAAACAGTGTAGATCACATGCCCGGGGCTACACATCTAGCAGCAGAGCAAGCAGCATGTCTGTGTCACCTGCCCAGCCTTCTCCTCTGTTATCTCTCCACGCTCAGTAAAAGTGAAGAACCTGGTGAGCACAGATTCCTCCAACATCCCTTCANCATTTTATAAGAGGAGAACACAAAACACAAACAGTGTAGATCACATGCCCGGGGCTACACACCTAGCAGCAGAGCAAGCAGCATGTCTGTGTCACCTGCCCAGCCTTCTCCTCTGTTACCTCTCCACGCTCAGTAAAAGTGAAGAACCTGGTGAGCACAGATTCCTCCAACATCCCTTCAGTGATGAGTCGAGAATGCAGCATTTGGGAAGCTGGACTCATAGATGCTGCCAAGACACTAGGGTGTCCTTCTGAAAACTGGAAAAAAAAAGTCTTGGAAATTATTTAGCTATGTGGTGCTAAATGTCCACACATCCTGACCCATGAACATATTTTGGAGGGCTATTTATAATATTGTTTCACTTTTATATGGATAAAGTTGTGTGCAATTCTTTATTATGAGTTATGTTTCTATAAATATTGAATTTGGTTTGTTTATTAAAGTGGAAAAATTTGCAGCACCCATGCATTATAAATCAAAGCCATATCTATAATGATCTTACTTCATATTTTGTGAGCATTCAGTGATATGAGGCCCAGCAACTCCACGGGGATGAGAGAAGCAGAGTGATTGACGGATTCTCTTGCCATGACCACAGCATGCTGTTTTAATCGAAGTCAAAGTTTGTCATCTCTTATCACGAGCCCGAGAGCTTCGTGTGCATATGTCCCTGTGATCGTGGTAGATGCAATCCATTAACACCATTAAGGATTGGTTTCTCTTTGTTCTTTATCCACAGTTGAGTAACCTCACCGAGATCCATGATCAGATCAGCGGCATGGCCCGCTGTCCCTACAGTCCCCAGCACAATTCCACGGCTCTCCTCACGGCCGGCGGGGAGCTCTACGCAGCTACAGCCATGGATTTCCCGGGACGTGATCCTGCCATTTACCGAAGTCTGGGCATCTTACCTCCTCTCCGCACTGCGCAGTACAATTCCAAATGGCTCAACGGTAAGCCTTCCAGGAACTCCCAGTTTCCTGTCTCCTTTGTCTGTGATGCCTAGTCATTTGGTGCTCAAGAGCAAACTGTCACACTTTTTAAAGAAAAACAAATTCTTCATTTTCTAAAGAAATTAAAATGTAACTTGTTTGGTGCAATGATTGGAAGGAAATCACGTGGCTCTCTAGTACTGGGAAGAGAAGTGATTTTCCCAACACTGAGACTGTGATAATAGGGCTAATGTTGATTTGATCATTCATCAAAGTTAAGCTGTTATTTTCTCTATTATTGTGTGAAGTCTAGGAAAATTGATGTTCTGTCATAGATAGGTGTAGACTTATGTGCATTCTTTCTTAATTCCTTATTATCTATCTGGAAATGGAAATTACTAACATTTCCTGAAATTTTCAGACACCGTGTAAAAGAATGTGTTTAGGTATAGACGTCTGCAAATAACAAATCAAAAAACACGTACCAACTCACATACTTAGCAGTTAGTGGTAGGCATCTTCAGAGTTTCTTAGTTCAGGGGCTTAAGAGTTAATAAGGACCAAGTCTTTTTACCACTGTCTCTGCATCACAGTCTGCCAGGTTGGTCCTCAGGCCAGCTCTGCTCATGAATGCAGAACTGCTGCTGCTCTTTAAGGTATTGCATCCAGATGTGGTAATATTCACAGGAAGAAGAGACACAATCTGCTTGCGTGTGCGTTTGTGCATGTATGTGTGCTCACATGTGTGTGTTATAAAAAGAAACTCCCAAAAGTCTTCCTTCAGTTCTGAGTCAGAACTTGGTCATCTGCTCACTAAACAACCAGAAAATGGTGCCAACCGTCCAGATCGAGGTTGGCTGTGTATACTGTCCTGATGTGTGCCACCTGAAATCCAGCCCTCTGTACATGTGCACATTCGTGTGTGAGTGTGGCAACACACATGCACACATACATGCCCTCACATAAGCAGTATATATGCTCCATGAGCATATATATTGCCTCAAGCACTTATTTGGTAATTTGCACAAAGATGAAATCTTGACATGGCCGTTATAATATTTACTATTTGAATATTTTAAGTCTTACAAAGGTTTAGTGGCCTTGTACCCAGTACAAGCTAATTATGTAGATCAGAGTTTCTCAGTCTCAGCACTATGACGTTTGGAGCCAGATCATTCTTGATGGGGTCGTGGGCGGCGTTGTCCTAAGTCTTACAAAGGTTTAGTGGCCTTGTACCCAGTACAAGCTAATTATGTAGATCAGAGTTTCTCGGTCTCAGCACTATGACGTTTGGAGCCAGATCATTCTTGATGGGGTCGTGGGCGGCGTTGTCCTGGGTGGTGTAAGGTGTTTAGCAACATCCCTGAACTATACCCACTAGAGGCCAGTAGCATCCTCCTCCACCCAGTTGTAACAACAAAAACTATTTCCAGAAATTTTCAGATATGCCCTGGGGGAAAACTTGCCTGTTGTTGTGAACCATTGTTTTAGACCCATCACTTATGCATATTTATGTATATGTGTATTAGTGCACAATGCAGATATTTTGCCAAATAACTTAACAATCACATTTTGCCTTTAAAAGATTCTCCTGTAGCAATCAAAACGTCCTCATCATAAAGTTTCTCCAGTAAGTTGAGCGACTCTATTGCTTCCAAAGGGCAACATGCATTGTTTTCCTAAACTGAAGCAGTGACTACATTTTCCTCATTAACATTATTTCTGTTGAACTGGTTTCAACTGAACCCGTCAACTGTCTATGGATAGTCCCCTTGTGATTCTGAAGCTTTCATCTGTGTAGTTTAAAGTTGTTCTATTCATTTGTTGATTTTTACAGGCCAAGTAAAGTTTCCAATTAAAAATCAAAAAGTTCCTCCACCCCCATCCCCTAACACAGGCTTTGTAATTAGAGTTTTCCTAAAGCAAAGTAAAAAGTAATCAGGAGCACAATCTCTTTCTTATCCCAAAAGTGACACCTTAAGAGTATCCTGGAAAAATAATCGAGGTCATAGCATGAGTTATAAACATTGGATGTTTTCTCACATGTGACTCAGACCCAAGGATGATCACATGGTGAGATTCTGCTAACCCTCTGGGTGGAATCTTTTCCATTTGAGAGTCAGAGGATGTCATATGGGCAGTAGAAGAGCTAACCCAATGCTTACAACAGCCATGGTAGGCATACCATTGTTATTTGTTGTATGAAAAAATTAATATATTCGATTCCTAAAATGTGCAGGTGTTAATATATAATATCCTATAGCTGCAGAAATTTAAGATGATTTGAAGATAAATATGGTGACCCTCCCACCAAGCTTATGGTGTCAGCATGACTCGAATGACACCAAATCACCTATATTTCTCAGAGGAGCAGCAATCCCCTTCCCTGGCCTACCCTGGGAAAACCTTCACACCTGCAGAGAGCAGAGAGCTTGCCTGAGGGCTCCTAGTTCTTGCATGTGTAGTGTTCTCTTGGTACCCTCTCCTGGTTTTGCTGGGGCACTTTCTTCTGCTGCTGAACCCTGAGATATTGTTGCCCCTGTTGATTGGCCATGGGTTTCCTCTCTGATGGATCCTCTATCCAGGATAGATTCTGGCCCTGCCCTCCACTGGGCTCTGTTTCTGCCTCCTGCTGAGCCTCAGTGCAAGGACACTTATACTCAGTGACCTAATTGGAATCCACAGTTTGCATTCCATGTGCTCTTTAGCAGATGCCCCTTTGGGGCAATGGAATGGGATGTTCTCAGCAGACGCAGGGGAAATAGGGGACAAGTCTCCTCCCCACCAGTGCCTTCTGTCACCGGCTGATCTTACTGAGGGAAAGCAGTCTTACCTCACCACCTTCAAGCACCTGTCTGTTATCTTCCCCCCACCACATCCTACCACACTGCACTGCAGTGCTTGTCCCTACGTTCCAGTGTCGAGTCACAGCGTTTGAGGAATGATCTCCAGCCATTACCTAGGGTATCCTTTTGGAAAGATTAACATTATGCCTCAAAGCTTTTTTCACAGAAAGCTGGTGCTGCACCAGACTTAGCTGCTTTACCCTTGGCTTCAGCATCTCCTTGTCCTCGGCTCCTTCTCTTCAGTTCTCCTTAAGCATTGTTGATCCCTGGGGATGCTGTACTCAATCCCATTCTCCCCACTCTTCTCGCTATGCATGCTCTTTTTGAATTCCCACCTATTCCAGGTTTTTAACTACCCTGCCCTGCACCGAGTCACCACTCTCTGAGGAGCAGTCACAGACCTGGGTCTTAGTTCACTTCCTCCACATCTGCAGGGGCCGCTCCCAGCCAGATGCTCCTGGAGATACTGCAGGCTCAGCATGTTCCATCTCACCTGCCTCTTCACTTTTCCATCTTGGGCAGGGCTCAGTGTTGGCTTGCTCCGGCCACTATAACAAAATAACACAAACTGTGTACCTTCAACAACTGATGTTTATTTTCTCAAAGTTCCAGAGGCTGGAGGTCCAAGCTCACGGTGTCAGCTGTGTTGGTTTCCTCTGAGGCCTCCTTGGTTTGCAGATGGCTGTCTTCTTGCTGTGTCTCCATGTCTTTCCTCTGTACGTGTCTGTGTCCTAATCTTCTCTTCTAGTGAGGACACCAGTCATATTGGATTAATGCCCACTCTAATGACCTTATTTTAACCTAACTATCTCTTTGAAGACCCAGTCTCCACGTGCAGTCACATTCTGGGGTACTGGGATTCGGGACTTCAAGATATGAATTTTAGGGGACCCAATTCAGTCCAGAACAGGCTGTATTATTCAGACACTCATCTGAGCCAGATACCTGCACATCTCAGAGAATTCCTTTCTCCTCTTCCTAGACCTGCTCGAACCCACACCCTGCCAGGTTCACTTTTTGATCTCAGATCTGGGTCTCCCCGTTTCCCCTGCTTCTATGCTTATTCCATGTTTACTCAGTTTCTTCCGAAATGGTGCACCATCCCCTCTCTGACTCACTCTCCATAGAATAGCCAGGATGACCTCTCAAGCTTATAAAGCTGATCATGTCAGACCCAGCCTTAACCTCCTTGAATGCCTTCCCTTGGCTTGGGAAGAAGATGCTCGCTCCAGCTTGCTGTGAGACCTCTGGGCCACATCTCTCTCACCGAACTCCACACGGTACTCACACAGCCCCCATGTCCTCCTGGGACCCTTGTCCTCTCCTTCTCTGGCCCCTTGTCTGGGCTGCTCCTCCACCTGGACATTGTCCCCAGAGCCCCAGGGGGCTGCCTCCTTCAGTCCGTCAGTCCCAGCTCTAACATCTCTTCAGAGAAGTCCTCTCTGATCCTCCTGGAGCTCTCCTGCCTGGCAGGAGTCACAATTTGCCATCACCCTATTGACTATTCTCTAGAAAGCTAGCTCCACATCAGATTACATTGGACTGGAACATGCCTGGGTAGTCATGGTGTCTGGCCAATTCTCAACAAATGTTTAATAACCGAATGACTAATAAGAATGGGTGAATGGATCTCTCCCTACCTACCCCGGGTAACTGCCTTAGGCATCTGTCTGCAGCACGTATCTCATCATACTCTTCTTCCAGTCTTTCCACAGCCTCCCATCGTGTACAAAAGGGCGACAACCACAGAGCCAGTTACTAAATGTGAGTGAGAGAAACAGGGCACGTGCACACCTGGGGAGGGCTGTGGCCAATGGCAGCCCCTGGAACAGTGCCAGGCCAGAGTGGCCGGGTCAGCTGAGTTTTCTAAAGAAGGCAGAAATTTGGATTTTCTTGTGAAATCTCTGATCTTGTAGTGCTGACAGATAACTATCTTTAATGACTATGTGAACCAGCACAGTAGGGGCAAAATACCTCATTTGTAGAGGCTGAATTCAGCCATGGCTTCCAGTTTTCAGGACGCAGCCTGAGCCCCTCTTCACCAGCCTGATCTGTCACTTCATGATCTTTTGCCCTGCTTTTCACCTTCTAGCCTCCCCTCCCTCCCCCTGTGTCCTCTGCCTGGAACACCACCCCCGACTTTGTTCTTGTGGCCAGTTTATTTGCATCCTTCAAGGGCCCCATGTTCCAATAAGAAGCCCGCCTTGAGCTCTCCCAGTCCTTCCTCTTCAGGGAG